AACATTTGTTTATCTTTCATTTCGACCCTTGCGTAGGGTCTCTTTTTATTCCTACGGAAATAAAACGCTTGTTGCTGTGTATAAAGTTCCCAGGTTTGATTAGGGAAAGTGAAAGATACCAAGAGTATTGATTTAATATAAAACAAAATTTTAATTTTATCAATTTATTAGATTGTCGATATAATTGTACAGGGTGAGTCAACGATGGAATAAAGTCCATTATCTCATTTGTTTCGATGTTTACAAAAAATAGATTACATATAAAAGTTATAGGGATGGTTAAGACACATATTTTAAAATTATTATAGAGTATACAGGGTGCTTCAAAAAAGTATGGCGAATATAACATATGTTTTTTTAAGGCAACATCCTATTTTTTATTTTATTTTTAGATTCTGCGTAAAATTCTGTAAGTTTTTTCGGTATAATATTACATACCTAAAATTAATAGTTTTTATAATATTTCAATTTGTTTCAACAAAATGTTAGATTTCAATGTGGTAAAAAATTGTCAGTGATGCCATTGTTTCTGAAGTTGGACATCTAAATTTTGGTAGGAGAAATTTATAAAGATGAAGAAAAAGATATATATAAAGATATTTTAGATATATGCTACAGGGTGTTCAAAATATATTTATGAATTTCAACTATTTCTACTAAAATCTCAAATTTTTTAAATGGGACACCCTATATATTATCATTTTTTCTGATAGATTTTACAAAACTCTTATTAATTATGTCATATACCTATTTTTAATAATTTGCGATTTATTCCAATTTTTTCTATTTGTACCCATATTTTTAATACAATTGCCCTATAAAATCGTAGTTGCCATGACAAAACAAACTATTTATTATTTATCTTTAACAAGTAGCTTAATAATTAGTTACATTTGCTGGTATTAGTTAAAGTTGATTAACTTTACTCAAATAAACTAAAATCGCAGTTGTGAATTTCTTGGTGTATTTCTATATTATGAAAGATGACACTTGGATTTTCCTTCAGGACGAATATCCCCAGATTAGGGTAATACTAGATTACCTAATCGTTGAAGACTACTGATATAGGAATTTTCTTCGACATACAGTAAAGTTTTTTTTCTGGTAGTAATTCTGGTTTATAATTCATTTGGTAAAGCCAATATTTTTACTGCCGCGAAACCGTCCAATTACACACTGAAGTAGTTTTCTAGATAATCTACATCTATTCTTATACTACTAATCAAAGTACTATATAATATATAGTACTGAACCAAAAAATATATTTTTTTGGCTTGTTCGTGTATATCAGTCACATTGACTAATTAATTTCAGCAAAATCTGTAACTATTATCTCTGCCATTTATACTTATTACAACAAATTAAACTAAAATTCAAATTTTGTTCTTAACTTGCTTAACAGACAAGAAATTTTGACAATTATTACTTTTTGTCATGGTAACTATGATGTTATAGGGTAATTGTATTAAAAATACGGGTAAAATTAGAAAAAATTGGAATAAATCGCAAACTATTAAAAATAGATATATGAAATACTTAATAAAAGTTGAAGAGTTTTGTAAAATATATCGGAAAAAGTGATAATATATAGGGAGTACCATTTAAAAAATTTGAAATTTCTTAATTTTAAGTAGTTAAAATTCATAAATATATTTTGAACACCCTGAATGAGGTGCGCCACTCTATATAAGATTATATATAAAAAAGTTATGGAGTTTTACGCAGAATCTAAAAATAAAATATAAAATAGGGTGTTCTATTTAAAAAAACATATGTTATATTCGCCACATTTTTTGAAGCACCTTGTAAACTCAATAATAATTTTAAAATGTGTATCTTAACCGTCCCTATAACTTTTATATTTAATATTTTTTTGTAAACCTCGAAACAAATGAGATAATTGACTTTACTCTATCGTTGACTCACCCTGTACAAGCAGCTGTGTAGTCATTTTTACTCTGAGGCGACGTATATAATAGATTGTTTCGATTAGTTTATTTTATAGATCCTATCTGTTGTTTTATTTCCTAGTGTCCGTTTAGGAAATAAAACAACGCTCCATTTTCCCAAGTAAAAGCCCAGGTTATAAAGCATAACAACAGATAAAACACACCGAAGGAAATAAATTTATTATTTTTACTACTTTTAGTCGCATAATGTTCCGTCGGGATGATATAAAATAGAGTAAAACGGCTAAAAAATTGGTAGTTTTGAACATTTATTTTATATGGGTATTTTTTTGTTTAATATACGTAATAACTACAGCGTAGAATATTTTATTTTTGGTAAGATAACCAGTGACGTACAGTCCGTCAAAATATCCGTTAAATGAATTCAATCTCTTCAAAATTATGTTACCTTAGAATTATTAATTAACAAGTGGAAATGATACTAAAATACTTCTTGAAAAAACTACAATCTATTATTTCTAATAGATTTGGAGATATCGATTTTTAAATTCTAATGGTTTGAGTTCTAATAGCGCGACCACTATCGAACACCCACTCAATTCCACTTATTTTTACCAAAAATGCAAGTGTTTCTAGCTTGCACTTAAAAAAAATTCAAGCTATAGGGAAAATTACGACTCGTTAATATATTTATTAACGTATCATTAAGTATCACGAGACGTAATTAAATCGAGCAGAGGTATTGATTGTCGACCGGTTAACTGCGACAAATCTGCTATATCCCCTTCCACGTCTCTTAGCGATGTGTACAGTTTCTCGGTTTATTTCATACGTCGTTTGGCAACATGTTTACTGTCCTCTCTTTGTTCAGTACATTATAAACGCATTGTACTCTTCTTACATACGGAAATCTCGACCCAAGACTAACCTTTGCCAGCCACTATATATATATAGTTCTACAGGGTGTCCCCGAAAAAGCTACATATCGAAGTTGCGTTTTTTGTAATGGAACACCCTATATATTAATTGATTTTCGGATTCTGGGAGAAAAATAAAGGTGAGTTTTATAAGAAAAGTATACGACTAAAATTTTGACATATTTAACATTTTGTAGAAATAAAGAATAATTTTTAAATTACAATAAAAGCTACCTAAATTCGAATTTACCCTGTATAGCCCAACATGTAGTTAAATTAACTATTGTACTTTAAATCAAATTAAATGTATATTTATTTACTCAGTAGTTTTATACAGGTACCGGCGAAAAGTTATTACTCTTCAAAACAGTTAAAACACATCTAGGTGGCGCCACCTACAAACGGGAACCATATTGACGTCAAAATCAAATTTCTCATGTCAAAAACACCCATCCAATCAATTTTCATCCAAATATTGACGTTACTTCAGAAATTATTTGAAAAAAAATCGAAATAAAATGAAACTTCTACACCCTGTATCTCCGAAACTAAGCATTTTAGGACATACATTTATACAAACTTTCTTACTTATTTTTACCTGCAGAATATGCTGCCGAAGTTTCCGGAATACAATTCGACCACCCTGTATAATATGTCATTCTATTTAGAGTGTCATTTTTATCGAATAAAGTAAAAAATACCAAGGGTACCGCTTAAAAATCAAAAGTTGTAATCAGTTCCGGTAAAACAGGAAGTGACCGAAAACAATTGAACACGTCAACCAATCCTAATTTATGTCACATACTAACATACCAAATCTCATTTTTTTATCTGAAAATAAAAAGTTATAGGGGGTGAGCCACTTTTGAGACGCACCCGGTACAAATAGCGACGTTTTTTGACACACCACCAGTATTAAACAATGCAAAATCGAAATAATAAACCGACCCAAGCTCGCAACCCTTAATAAAGCAACAATAGAATTCAATTAATATCGAAAGTTTCGGGTTATAACTCACCTGGGCCGTATAAATCACACCTTATTGTGGTCTTCGGGCTTATTCGCAAGCTCCCCAATGAAATATATCCCCTCCCCTTTACCCGGTTTGCTGTTGACCCCCCTTTCGCGTTGTTTCTGTGTATACCTCTTCTCCTAGGCTGCCCCTTTTCAAACACACGGAACTTGGGACACTGTTTAGGTTTCAAACTAAAAGGATATTGAATCAGAGTAATAAAAGCAGGAGCCGGATAAGGACAGCTTATTTGTAGATTGCAGATTGTATGGGAAAGAGGAAATCCAGTTTTTGCGACGGTTTTACAGAGGTTATAGTTCTCCATCATTTTTTGTGTCTTAGAAAAGTATTTCGAGTGCCTTAGCATAGTACTAAGGGCTGGCAAAGGTTAATCTTGGGTCGAGATTTCCGTATGTAAGAAGAGAACTGAACAAAGAGAGGACAGTAAACACGTTGCCAAACGTATGAAATAAACCGAGAAACTGTGCACATCGTAAGAGACGTGGAGGGGATATAGCAGATTTGTCGCAGTTGACCGGTCGACCCAATCAATACCTCTGTCAGCCTCTGTCAGTACTTAAAGTTCTAGGCAAAGGTGTACGTCATCATGTTCAGCTTCACGATTCAATTACGTCTCGTGATACTTAATTTGTTTATTTATTAACGAGTCGTTGTAATTTTCCCTATAGCTTGAATTTTTTTAAGTGCAAGCTAGAAACACTTGCATTTTTGATAAAAATAAATGGAATTGAGTGGGTATTCGATAGTGGTCGCGCTATTAAAACCCTGAATTCAAAAATCGATATCCCGAAATCTATTAGAAATAATAGATTGTAGTTTTTTCAAGAACTTTGTTAATATTTCTGCTGTATTCTCTTTGTAGACAGTATGTGAAAATCTTTATCAATAAAAAAATTACACGATTGCTGAAAATTGCTATGCTCTAAAAGTAAATGGATGGATTGTTTACAATTTTTGAATGGAAAAAACAACCTTATCGAATTTTTCTTATAAACATATCGTAAAATATCCGATCTTGAAAATAAAAAAAGTTTCAATATCTAAAGTGGTCTAAAGGCGTATCGGCAACGCAGCAACAGCACACCGTCGCGCATCGCGTCGGTCGGTCGCATTTCTCTCACTCCGACTTAATAAGATCCCTATGCGATTTACTTCCACACATGTAAATGCTGACCCAAAAGTAACAGTTGCCAGCACGGTATATAACGGGATTTGGTTTAAGTATTTAATACTCATTTCCAACTACAGCCTATTGCTGCCTTCCCCCGTTACCCTACGCCACATCTCGATTTAGAGCGTCATCAGCTTCTAAGTTACGAGCTTCCATTGCTTCCGTAACCGTTCCGTTCCAGGATTTTCTAGGTCTACCTCATGGTACAAAGAATACAAGGTATGATATTGCGCAGGTTGGTCGCTACGTCACAGGTGATAACAGGCGCTATTGGTCAGTACTCTCCGCGCGCCAGTTCAAATCGTCAAGATATTCTTATAAACCTGTTTTTTTGTTTATATACCGTCATTGAATTATCGCTAAGCAAGTTACTGTGGAGCAGTGCGTAGGAGTCGGGCTAGGGAAG